TTATTCGCCGATTTTTTTTTTTCAAGTTTCGCATTTGAATATTTTAATGTATTATGGCCAAAAATTGAATATTTTAATGTATTATGGCCTATGCAGGTCCACATCATACGATGACTAATATTATGGCTACATTAGGTATTTTTAAGATTTTAACAGATTTTTGAACGGATTTTGTTTTATTTTATATATTTTTTTTTTTTTTTTTTTTTTTTTTGGGAAATTGCCAAATTCTTCAAAATGGTGGAGGGTATTCAAAGTTCGGCCCGGCGGAACTTACAGCTTTTTTACTTGTTTTTATATGTATTAGTTGAAGTATGAAAATGGAATACTTCGGTCGACTATATCTGGTACCTCCCTCACACATTTGAATATTTTCTAAAAATTATCACAAATCTCATATAAGGCGATGGAAGTCCGAACTCTGGCACGTCGCAATATTTATATCATACCGTTATGGAATGGACAATATTGATCCATTCCTTTCGGAACCTACTCCATCGAGGGTCAAGAATTTGAATACTCAAAACAGGAGTCAAAATATATTTAACCCTCAGTATACATCTGTCGGCAAACCCGTCTAATACTTTTTAACTAGTTAAATTTTTAGGCTCTTGATTTCAATATATCTTATGTCCATGTTGAAATAAGGGGTTAGGATGCTGTTTTGTAAGTAATCACTGTCGGGAAAATTTCTCTAAAAATGTAAACGATTTTATTTTTTTTGGGTTTGGAAGATTTTTATTTTAGGTGCCTTTAAGAACCCAAAATATGATCCATATCTAGTTTTCCTTCTGTTCCTTTCACACCCGAAATGCATATGAATCTTTCGGTAGGAAACATTTTCAAATTAGGCATCAACTGGTCGGCTTTATTCACGATGCCTTTTTCTTTCCTCCAACTTTCCATTGGCAACGTTGCCAACCAAAAACGACAACATAAAATGCTCTCCAGGCCACCCATCAAACCCACATCTTGTGGCGCATCCCTTTCCATGATCCCAGCATAATCAACGAATGGCAATGTGAAAAGGAACCGAAAACCATGCAACCGACAGTTGCACGATTGATGGCAACATGAAAACATGTTGTAACGGTAGAGTGCGAGAAATTGTGAATGAGAACGGCAATGGTGGAAATGGAATGAAATAAATTTTGAAAATATAAAATTAAGTGTTAAGTGAGGATATATTTCAATAATATTTGAGTCAAAATACCAAATATATAAGAATTGAAAATATTCGGAGAAATTTTAAAAATTTGTTTTATTGAAAAGTTACTTAAATGCAGACATTTGTCTGTTTGTGTTTACATTGCGAAAGAAGTGTTGAAAGAAAATACAAAAAAAAATAAATGTTCGATGCTTGTTTTCAACTCCAGTGGTGGTAAAAGCTAATAATCAAAATAGAAAAGAGAAAACTTGGAAGTGAATAACTCAAAAAGCCGGTTAATACATGATTTATCTTTCAGAATAATAATAATAAAAAGGTAAGTTGAAATAATGGATAAATATTAAGGAAAAAATTTTTTTTTCGATTTTTCAAACTTTTTGAAAGTAAAAAAAATCACCTCAAGATTGATTAAATTGTTTTATGGGAATTACAATTTTTTTCCACTTTTTAAGATTCTGAATAAATAATCATACATTAAATATCCTTTGCTGACATTTTTTCCTTACTCTCAGGCGAACATCCTTTCCTAGGTTTATTTACTGTCTACTCAGCTGTTTTTTTTCTTGTCACATAGTTATTTTTGTTGTTGTTATTGTTGTTATTATATTTTCGTCTAGACAGTTTTTCCATATTACCTCTCAGACCCCATTTTTATTTGCGCCAACATGCCTGTGTCGACAAAATTTCGTATGGCATAATCAGCTGTTGGTGGTGCCTGCCTTTGGCCTTCCTTTAACAACCAGACACACATACACATATACTATATTGCCCTGGTCACCCGCCACACAATGATGCCATATGTTATGATATTTTAATCATAGACTCAGACTGGGAGATTTGTGGGCAATGATGTCAATGTAGAACAATATATATGGGAGCTGTAGCTATATCTGAACCGATCTTCACCAAATACTATTTTCTAAACTCAATTCGGTCGTATGTGCCAAATTCCATCCCATTTGGGCAAATATTAGACGTTTGGTGCACAATAAAAGGTAAATCGGACGAAGTTATATATGGGAGCTATATCCAAATCTGAACCGATGTCGATAAAATTTAGCAAAGGTATTTCTGAGCTGCATTTGATATATTTCCCCAAATATTGTCGTTACAGAGTGCATATTACTGCTGCGGAGGACAAAAATAACAAATCGGATAAACAATATATATGGGAGCTATAGCTATATCTGAACCAATGTCCATCAAATTTGGCATGCTTATTTTTAGGCCTAATTTGGTTGCATGTGCAAAATTCCATACTGATCGGGCTGATATTACACGTTTTGTGCACAATAAAAGGCAAATCGGACGAAGATATATATGGGAGCTATATCTAAATTTTTACCGATTATCTCCAATTTCAATAGGGTTCGTTTGGGCCAAACAAATGTTGTTTGGAAAATTTCATCTCAATCGGATAATAAATGCGACCTGCATTTTGTTCACAAAAATACATGGACAGACGGACGGACGGACAGATGGACTGACATGCATAAATCAACTCAGAAAGTGATTCTATGCAGATCATCTAAAGGAACTATGTAGGATATAAATACATTCTAGTTGACATCTATAGGTAAAAGACTTTCGGGCAGACTTTCTTTTGTCTTGAATGGAAACATATCCTCCAAAGAAAAAATATGCTCCAAAGAAAACCTTCTACATATAACAATGATTTTATAGATGGCAATCCTTCCGGAGGCTATCTACAGATCGACGATCTTCTGGAGGCCATCAATAGTTTTAGTACCTCTTAGAGATCTTACGTTGATAAATCTCTAAAGTTCTGGCCTCAATGATAAATTTCAATTTAGACCATTGATCTGAATTCGGTCCGAAAACTATTAGAAAACCTCCCAAAAAAATTCAGAAATGCACACGATTTTACTTCCAAGCTCGGTCCGACATCTGAATTTGCCATGGATATCCCTGCGAATTCAGTTCGACTTCGGTTCGAAGGTCGGCTAAAACTTCAGACTATCGTCCGACCCTTCGATGCCACAACACCTCAACCACTCCATATAACTTTCGGTCAGAAGTCCGACGGAATACGCATCCGACATCGGAAGTTTCGTCCGAATTTCGATTCGAAGTTTAACTAGCTGGGATGGGAGATTTGTGGGCGGTAATGTCAATGTGGCGATTTTATGCGATATAAACGTTTTTTTTTACTTTAAAATGTCTCCCACAGAGTTTTTTTTAGGTGGAATAGTGTCTAAAGGTCTTATAGAGGGAGAATATTTGTAGTATATCTATAAGACATGAGAGATAGAATATGGGTTTTCTATACACCTTAAAATTATTTAAATGAAAATAATTTCACAGGGGTTTGCCAACATTCCACAGGCAGACTTTTCTCCTCCGATATTCTTTAAAATAATTATTTTTAAAAATTTATTTGAGAGTGATACGAAATTAAGCCAATGGGGGAATATTTTGATAAATATGTTCTCCAAAAAGTTATAAAATATTTAGAAATTTTGTTGTTGCAAAATAATGGCGAACATTTTAAATGACAATTTTTTCTTCGTGGAATAGATGAGGATTTTTAAAGAGGAATTCTTCAAGGGTCCTACGATCAAAAATTGGGCATTTCCCTCAGAGCAAAAACTTTCGATTCTTAAAAAAATGCCAAGGTTGTCAGAGCAAAATTTGTGGATTTTTTTGCTAGTTTCGCAAGTTATGACAGATATAAGCATTGAAAATTGTGGGTGAGGTACCAGAAGGGGTTGACAGATGTATATCATATTCACAACAGATCTGGTGTTAGAAATGGTGTGATCCATCTTTATAACAGATCTTGTGTTGACGGAAATATTGAGATGTATCAAGCCTGAATGGAATTGGACGTTATTTTCGCGTTTTATGAGCTTCATGGATACTCAAAATTGTGACCCTTTGTAGGGGAGGTACCAGAAGGAGTAGACCGATGTACCCCATTTTCACACCAGACCTTAGGTTAATAAAAAAAATATTGTGATATGTGTAATTTTGAAGAGAACCGGATACTTATATCAGATTTTATGATCGTTTTGATTATTCAAAATTTTAACCCTTTATGGGGGAGGTGCCAGAAGGAATGGTCCGATCTCTACCATCTTCATAACAAATCTGGTGTTGGTGGAAATATTGAGATGTACCAAATCTGAATGGAATCGGATGTTAATTCGCGTTTTATGAGCTTCATGGATATTACATTTTTAACCCTTTGTGGGCGAGGTACCCGAATGAGTGGATCGATATACTCCATCTTCACACCAGACCTTGGGTTACTAAAAACATTGTGATATGTGTGATTTGAAGACAATCGGACTCTCATTTTCGCACCTGATCTAGAACTGATGCAAACATTAGGGTTTACAAAGTCGGAGGAAAATCGGACTATCCTTTCTTTTTCTGGGCAGGAAATTATTTTCTTTTTGGAAATTATTTGACCTTTTGTGGGAGGGAGGTACTAGAAGGAGTAGACCGATATTGCCCATCTTCGAATTCGATCTAAGTTTTCGAGAATTATCAGACAGACAGACGGACGGACATCGCTAGATCGACTTCAAATGTCCTGAAACGGATTTGTTCCAATGAGACCTAGGGTCTAAAACCGTTATTTCGATGAGACACGTTTTTGTCGTATCAAATGAAATATACCCTCTTTAGCCATATGACTGAGGGTATAAAAATATGAAGCAACCTCCCTTCCCATTCTCCCATCTCAACATTACGAAAAAAAAATCCATTCAAAATTCTTTGCTTACCCATTCAAAAAGTAATTACTTCTATGGAACCAAAAGAGCGGAAGAGAAACAGCAAAAAATAAAACGAAATAAAATTATTAATGAATTTTATTTATGCAATTTGTAATCTGCTTTTATTTTTTCCTTGGCATCAACAGCAATCTCGCCAGAAACGACACAATGGTGGGCTTTGTTTTCCCTTTGCTTTGAGGCTGTGCCCAGCTGTGCGTCCTAATGGCATTACAGCCAAACTTCACTAATCTTTTTTACATCTCTTCGTCGATTGTCTGCCTTTCTGTCTACGTTGCGCTTTACACATTTTAGCGGCTTAAGTTTTTGAACTTTAAACATGGTCGGTTCTGTTTATTGGATTTTCAATGTTATGGACAACTATTGTGTGCAGACAGTTTCCACGTAATCCCCTTGAACTTGAAAAGTTGTGGAATTTCACAAAAGAAGAAAAAAATATGTACAAAAAATATTAGGATACAGATTTTTTGGCTAAAGGAATAGGAAAAAAATGTTAATTGAGAGGGAGAGATTTTTAGAAAAATGAAGAGAAAAAAACCCGGAGAAATAATTCATTAAACCAGTACAAAAAGTCCTCCTTTCATGGTTAGCCTTTGAAAAAAAAAATTAATCGAATTTTGACCGACACCTTCTGATGTCTTTTATTCAAGAAAATTATCAACATCATGGTCATGGTATAAATTGCCTTGGTCAATTGCAGACCGGTATTCATGGTAAGAGGTACAACTGAACCAATTGTAAGACCGCCAGTATTCTGGGCCATCATAACCATCATTTGTATCATTTTTCGCTCGACCATGGGCAGTTTGTACCAGATGACGTCAGTGTAGCCGGAATCAATAAAGCCATCATTCTGTGAGGAAGAAAAAAAGTTAAAAATACGTCAGAAACTACTGTATAAATCACAATTGTTGTGAAGCTGGCCTTAGAGCCCCCTACTGTAGGGTAGCTGTACTCAGTTCCCTCTACTGTAGAGAAGTTCGCATGAAAGGTCACTAATGTAGAGTAGTTGACCTCAGAGGTCACTACTGTAGAGTAGTTGACCTCAGAGGTCACTACTGTAGAGTAGTTGACCTCAGAGGTCACTACTGTAGATTAGCTGGCCTCAGAGGTCACTACTGTAGATTAGCTGACCTCAGAGGTCACTACTGTAGATTAGCTGGCCTCAAAGGCCACTACTGTAAAGTAGGTGGCTTTAGAGGCTATTACTGTGGAGTAGCAGTGCTCATGGATCACTACTGTAATGTAGGTGGTATCAGAAGCCACTACTGTAAAGAAGCTGGCCTCAGTGGCCTCTACTGGAGAGTAGCTGGCCTCATTGGCTTCTACTGTTTAGTAGGTGGTCTCAAAGTCCACTACTGTAAAGAAGCTGGTCTCTAGCTGACCTGTAAAGTAGCTGACCTCAGAGGCCTCTATCGTTGTGTAGCTGGCCTCTGAGGCCACTACTGTAGATAAGAACGACTTAGAGGCAACTACTGTGAAGTAGCTGGCCTCACAGGTTTTTTTATTTTGAGTAGCTGGCCTCAGTGGCCTCCACAGTTGAGTAGCTGGCCTCAGAGCCCCCTTCTGTATATTAGTTGACCTCAGAGGGCACTACTGCAGATTAGCAGTTCTCAGAGGGCATTACCGTAAAGTTGGTGGCTTCAGAGGCCACTACTGTAGAGTACCTGTTCTTAGAGGCCTATACTGTAGAGACCTCTACTGTTGAGTAACTGGCCGCAGTGCCCTCTACTATAAAGTAGCTGGCCTCAGAGACCTCTACTGTAGAGTAACTGGCCTCAGACCTCAGAGGCCTCTACTGTTGGGTAGTTTTTCTAAGAACCTACTACTGTTGAGTTGTTGGCCTCAGAGGCCTCTACTCTTGTGTAGCTGGCCTCTGAGGCCACTACTGTAGATAAGAACGACTTAGAGGCGACTACTGTAAAGAAGCTGGCCTCAGAGGCCTCTACTGTTGAGTAGTTGCCCTCAAAGGCGTCTACATTTTGAGTAGCTGGCCTCAGTGGCCTCTACTGTAGAGTAGCTGGCCTCAGTGGGCCCTACTGTAGATTAATTAGCCTCAGAAGCCACTACTGCAGATTAGTAGGGCTCAAAGGGCAATACTGTAAAGTAGATGGCTTCAGAAGCCGCTACTGGGAAGTAGCTGGCCTCAGTGGCCTCTACTGTAGAGTAGCTGGCCTCAGATGCCTCTACTGTAGAGTAGCTGGCCTCTACTGTAGAGTAGCTGGTCTCAGAGGCCTCTACTGTAGAGTAGCTGTCCCCAGAGGCCTCTACTGTAGAGTAGATGACCTAATAGACCTCAATTGTAGAGGCCTTTACTGTAGGGAAGCTGGCCTCAGAGGCGTCTACTGAAGACCAACTGGCCTCTGCGGTCTCTGCTGTAGATTAACTGGCTCCTTGTACAGAGTAGCTGGCCTCATAGGCCACTACTTTGAAGTTCAAAATTTAGTTTTCGTTGTCTCTTCTCTAGAAAAGTTTACCTCCGACTTACCGTCACTTCAACGAGTGTGCCCAGACCACAGTAGATATACAACATCATCAGGCAGTAGGCAAGATATGTTAGACCACCGGGCCATGTGCCCAAAATTAAGCAGAACAGTGTTGAGGCTAGGCTCAGGGCCACTGTACCCATTTCAATGATCAGGACCCAAAAATAGTTGTCCTTGACCGTGGTAATGTATCTGTAGATAAAGTGAAAAATAAAAAAACTCCATCCCATAAAAATGTTCAAAGGTCTCACATCATATACTTCTGATGCCATTGAAAAATATCTTTCAACAGAATTTGACAATCACCAATTCCCTCCTGCTCAACATCTTTCCCCCCCTCAAGGATGTCATTTAGATCCTGACATTTACACCTCAGCAGATCCTTGAACAACGGCACATGACTGACGATGGTGAAAAAGCACAGATCAGCTGCGAAATTTCCAAATGATCCGAACAAAATACAAATGCAATGCATACAATTCATCACGAGGTAACCGTAGGCGGTATTCGGGTCGATTCCGGGTAGCAAAAATTGCATTACAAATATTCGCTCATTGAATACCACGCGATGGAATGGCACGACGGCAATCAAACTCATGGTAATGGAGAAATGGATAATGGCCATACATTTGATGAATCGATTCACCGTGTTAATGCTCTTCTGGAGACAGCAACGATAATCGGTATGTTTCAGATCATATTTCCGATAGATTTCCCGTAGTTCATCCGTCAAATATCGTATATTGTCCTTATTCCCTATGGCATTTAAAAGTTTGCAATAGCCCTGCGAGGGAAAGGATGTCACTCAATTTAATTTCAGTTTCTTTTTATTAATCCAACTCACCTGCATAGCACTACCCAAACAGCACAGGACCTGCAATATATTCGGCCAATCCTTTTCTATGTAAATATTCACATAAAGTGTATATCCGGTAAAGGCAAAATATAGATTTATGAAAATAATCACAGTCCAAGTGAGGATGTTCATCATGTAGGTAGGATTGAAAATATTCGCACCACAAAAAGCCGAGCAAATTTTTATAAGGCGGACTATTGCTTCATAGCGCTGTACAAGGGTTTTGGCCATATTTTCGGCCGAGATTTTTTCTATGAAACCCGTTCTGTGTTGCGTTGAACCGTTAAGTGGAATTATGGTCAGACTGTAACCTTACAAAAAATTACACCACCTGCCAGGATCTCAGGCATTCCCGACATTCACTTTCAAAGACATGTAAGAGACGTTCAAACCACCTGTCATTTTTGACAGCATAATTTATCACGTTATTCTCGATTAGCCTGAAGGGGGAAAAAGAGGCTTGCAATTAAATTACAGTTGAGACTGTAAAACGCTAATAAGCTAAAGGAGACCAGTTAAACCGCAGTAGAGACAATTAAGACAGTAACGCCATCTGAAAACATCTTCTCTACAACAGTGATCTCTGAGACCATCTACTCCAGATAAGTGCCTCTGAGGCCAACTGCTTTATAGTGAAGGCCTCCGAAGCCTCTAGTCCCGAGTAGCAAACTTAGAGAACGTTTAGCTTACAGCAGTGGCCCCTGAGCCAACAGCGGCGACATCTGAGCCCCACTGAGGCTAGTTACTCTACAGTAGTGGTCTCTACGGACAGCTACTCTACATTAGAAGCCTCTGCGGACAGCATCTCTACAGTAGTGGACTCTGAGACCATCTACTCGACAGTATTAGCCTCTGATACCAGCTTCTGAGTCCATCTAATGTACAGCAGAGGCCTCTAAGGCCAGCTACTCTAAAATATAGGTCTCTTAAGTTACTCTACAGTCAAGCCTTGAAGACTAGCTGCTCTACAGTAGAGGCCTCTGTGGCTAGCTACCCTACAGTAGAGGCCTCTAGGACCAGTTACTCTACATTATAGGCTTCTAAGGCCAGCTATTCTGCAGAATAGCTACTCCGTGATAGAGGCTACTCCGTGATAGAGGCCAGCTGCCTCTCCTCTACAAAGTAGGAGACCCTAAGGCCAGCTTCTCGACAGTAGCGGCCTCTAAGACCAGGTGTCTTACTGTAGTGACCACTGAGGGCAGCTACACTACAGGAAAAACCAACTACTTGGCAGTATAGACCTCTGAGGCAATCTACCCTAAAGTAGAGGCCACTGAGGCAAGATACTCAACAGTAGTGGCCTCTTAGGCCAGCTAATCCGCGGCAGACACCTCTAAGGCCAGCTACCCTGCAGTAGGGGTCTCTGTGACCAGCTACTATACGATAGATGGCTCCACAGTATAGGCCTCTGCACCCAGATACTTTACAGTAGAGGCCTCTGAGGTCAAATACTCTACAGTAAAAACCTATAAGGACAGCTACTCTGGAGTAGAGGCCTCTATGGCCAACTACTCTACAGTAGAGGCCTTTGAGGCCAGCTACTCTAAAGGAGAGGCCTTTGAGGCCAGCTACTCTAAAGGAGAGGTCTCTAAGGTCAGCTACTCTACAGTAGAGGCCTTCGAGGCCAGCTACTCTAAAGGAGAGGTCTCTAAGGTCAGCTACTATACAGTAGGGGCCTCTAAGGTCAGCTGCTATACGGTAGTGGCCTCTAAGACCATCTACTCTATAGTAGAGGCTTCTAGGACCAGCACTCGACAGTAGCCGGCTCTGAGGCCAGCTATTCGACAGTAGTGCCCTCTGTGGCCAGCTACTCGATAGTATTCGCCTTTGAAACCAGCTTCTCGTTAGTAGACGCCTCTAAGACCAGCTACTCTACAGTAGAGACCTCTAGGGCCACCTACTCTATAGTAGAGGCCTTTAAGGCCAGCTACTCTAAAGAAGAGGTCTCTTAGGTCAGCTACTATACAGTAGTGGCCTCTAAGACCATCTACTCTATAGTAGAGGCTTCTAGGAGTAGCACTCGACAGAACCCGGCTATGAGGCCAGCTATTCGACAGTAGTGCCTTCTGTGGCCAGCTACTCGATAGTATTCGCCTTTGAAACCAGCTTCTCGTTAGTAGACGCCTCTAAGACCAGCTACTCTACAGTAGAGACCTCTTTGGCCACCTACTCTATAGTAGAGGCCTCTAAGGCCAGCTACTATACAGTAGTGGCCTCTATGGCCATCTTCTCTATAGTGGAGGCTTCTAATGCCTGCTACTCTACAGTAGAGGATTCTAAGGCTTGCTACTCTACAGTAGAGAATACTAAGGCTAGCTCTGAGACCAGCTACTCCACATAAGAGGCCTATGTGGTCCGCTGGTGTACATTAGATGACTCTGAGGCCGGCTTCTTTCCAGCTTCTCTACAGCAATGGCCTCTTTCCCTAAAAGGGTCACCCATTCTGCAGTAGAGTGGTGTGAGATTAGCTACTCTAAGAATATGGAGAATCAGGAAAGGTTATCGTAGTATCTATAGAAAACCTCTAATCATAGAAGAGCTGAAAGCGATCTCAGGGAATTTCTATTAGGTGTCTTAGGGCTACCTGTATTTTTGTGATTGTTTCCTTTTTTATATTATTTTATTGAGTGATTAGTAAATTATCCATAGACGTCTCAAGGCATGGATTTCTTTTGATAAATACAGCTACCGGGTGCATACTACTAAAGGTGCAAGCTATCCATCTCAGGTGGTTTTAAAAACTTGCAAAGTGCCATTCACTCAAGAAAATTAATCAACATCATTGTCATGGTGTAAATAGTTTTGGTCAGCTGTAGACCCGTATTCATGGAGAGGGGAATAACAGAGCCAATTGTTAGGCCGTCTGTATTCTGGGCCATCATCAGCATCATTCGTAACATTTTCCTCTGCGAAACGGGCAGCTTGTACCAAATGATCTCAGTGTAACAGGAATCAATAAAGCCATCGTTCTGGAAGAGAAGAAGAGAAATCATGAAATTATGGAGGCCCATGAAAGCGATTTTTCAGGGGGATAAAATGTTTTTGTGGGTGGTCTTAAAACATTTTTTGTTTAAATCAAAAATTATCGGAAGTTTTGAAAAGTAATATTCTTTAAAAAAAAAGTCTTGAGAAAATATTTTTTTAAAAAAGACATCAAATTTTGAGGAATTCTAAAAATAATATATATTTTAAAATTTCCTAAAACTTGTATTTTTAAGGGATATTTTTTTTAAATAGCCATACAAATATTTTCCGCAGACTCTAGGATTTTTGGAGGTCTAGAAAATATTTTGTTTTAAACCAAATTTTTGTTATCTATTGGCGAGTTTTTGTTTATGGAGATTTAGACAGATATACTCACAGTCACTTCAACCACCGTTCCCAGACCACAATAGATGTACAACATTATAAAGCAATATGCCAAGTACGATTGGCCTCCCGGCCAAGTTCCCAAAATTAAGCAGAACAGAGTTGAGGCCAAGCTAAGGGCCACTGTGCCCATTTCCACCAAAAGAACCCAAAAATAATTCTCCTTTACAATGGCGATGAATCTGCAGAGGAAAATAAATTTTCACAAAAAAAAAAGTTGAATAAATTTAAATTTTATTGATAATTAAAAAAAAAAAAGAATTGTTTTTTAAATATTAAAAATAATTAAAAACATAATATTAGTACTTAAATTTAAAATATAAAAATATAAATACAAAACAACAAGAATAAAGGCTTCGACCTTAGTTATATTTAAGTTATATTTGTAGCAATTAAAAAATAAATTTTAAATAAATAACTAAAAATCAGAAAATAATTAATGATTAAAAAAAATGTGAAAATATAAATTAATTATTTGAATAAAAAATATTAAAACAAATATATTTTAATTAAATAATAGAATTTTGTTATTTAAAGAATTTCATTAAATAAATAAAAAACAAGAAAAATAAGGACCTAGAGCTCATTTTTATTTAACTTATATTTGAAATAATTTAAAATTAATAAATCATAAATAAATAAATAACAAAGAATCAGAAAAATAATAAACTAAGTTGGGAAAATAAATTAATTATTTGAATAAAAAAAAAATCTAAAAAGATATATAAATGAATATATTTTTTAATAATTAAAATAATTAAAAACAGAATTTTGTCTTTTAAATATAACAAAAATATAAATAAGTAAAAAAAACCACAAAAATAAAGACCTTAAATTCAGTTTTATTGAACTTAAATTTGAAATAATTTAAAATAAATAAAAAACATAATGATAACACCAGTTGAAAAAATATATTAATTATTTGAATAAAAAAATTAAAAACAAAAATTAACAAAAATTAATAATTTTTAGAATATTAAAAATAATTAAAAACATAGAATTTTACTGTTTAAATATAAAAAATTAATAAATAACAAAATAGTGATGTCGTGCCCAGATTTATTTAACTTAAATTTTAAATTATTTATAAATAAATAAAAAAATCAGAAAAAAGTAATAATAATATCAATTGAAAAATAAATTAATTATTTGAATAAAAAAAAATTAAATATAAATAAATAAATTTATTTTTAGAATATTAAAAATAATTAAAAATATAGAATTTTACTATTTAAATTAAAAATTTAAATAAATAAAAATAACAAAAATTGAGGTCTCGTGCCCAGTTTTAGTTAACTTACATTTTAAATAATTTATAAATTAATAAATAAATGAATAAATCAGAAAAAATGAATGAGAAAATAAAAAAAGAAGTTAAGAAAATAAAATAATTATTTGAATAAAAACATTCCTAAAAAATTATTTTTGTATATTACAACAAATAAAAAAATACAAATTTATTATTAAACTGTAACAAAATAAAAAAATAAAAATTTCGATCTTTATTTTTTAACTTACATTTGAAATAATTTAAAATAAATTCATTGTAAACAAAAAATATCAAAAAAAAAAAATAAGTTAAGGAAATTAATTATTTAAATAAAAAAATCAAAGACAGATATTTTTTGAATATTAAAACATAATTAAAAATACAATTTTATTTATTTAAATAATTAAATAAATAAAAAGAACAAGAGAATTATGGAAATATGGTTCAGTCGATTTAATTTGTTTTTGAAATAATATAAAATAAATAAATTATAAAAAATAAATAATAAAAAATCAAAAAAAATTAATGATAAAATAATAATATAAGTAGAAAAAATAAATTACTTATTTGAATTAAAAAAAATCAAAAAAATAAATATATAAAATTATTTTATGAATATAAAAAATAAGATAAAAAAATAGATTTTTATTATTTAAATATAAAAAATTAAATTGAAAAAAAAAACAACAAAAATAAAGACTTCGAACTCTGTTTTATTGAATTTACATTTAAAATAAATAAATTATAAATAAATAATAAAACAATAATAATAATAAAAATTAGAAAATAAATTAATTATTTGAATAAAAATTTAAAAAAATAAATATATTTATTTATGAAAAAAAATATATAAAAACTCACAAATTAAAACCTCTACCTCAGTTTAATTTAATTAATATTTGAATAAATTATTAATAAATTAATAACAAATATATATATATATATATATATATATATATATATATATATATATATATATATATATATATATATATATATATATATGTATATATATATATATATATATATTATTTAAATTATATAATTATTTTTTTTTGTTATTTACGTATTTTATTTCTTAATTAATAAACTTGTATTTTTTATTATTTTTAGTATCCTTATTATTTTTTTTTGACTGAGCTAGAGGTTTTAATTTGTATATATATATATATATATA